TGCCACGACGAACATTGAATTACATGTATTGAACAGACACGATAAGAATTTGAAAACAAATCTTTTGAAGTAGAGAAGTTGCATTCTCCTTCATATAAAGATATGACCATGATATCATCTTGAATATTCAACAGAAAACAACTACATTCCTGGCTATTTGCCACGTCGAACATTGAATTATATCTGTTCAACATCCAAAACGGGAGCATGAAAAATGAAAATCCTCTGAAATTGGGTAATAGTTATTTATGTAATAAGGATCATAAAGACGATCATTATGGTACAAGTCGTGAATGTTATCGGGCGAGGCGTAGCCGAGTCCGATAACACGGCGTGTGCCATAATGATTGTTTATGATTCGTATTACATACAAAATTTTATCTGATGGCATTTATATCAATACATTTTCAAAAAATTAAAAACTGCATTTTCGACATGTCACAATGACAACTATTTTTAAAGGCGTAAGTATTGTGTAGTTTCAAATATTAGTAGGTGAGTGAGCTGTGCTTTGCCATTATATTAATATTACAAATTGTAGTAATTGTTCTTTCACCATTTATAATAAATAGTTTTGTACATAGTTATGCATTTTGAATAAACTTTTTTGATCAAACCATTACATGTTTTCCTTATTGAATTTCATTATGGTACTTAGTACCATAATGAATTCATTATGGTACTTAGTCCCATAATGAATTCATTATGGTACTTAGTCCCATAATGAGCTTCCTTATGTCATCAAAATTGAGTGACATAACGTTGTCATTATGACATGCCATCAGATAAAATGATATTATGTAATATGATATAAAATATAACTCACCAATATGTTAGGTATTGACATGAAAATTGAAAAGTATATAAGAAGTATACTTGTATAAACTCTGATCTTGATCATTCGTATCAGGAAGTTACAAGCTCATCAAGATCAGAGTTTATACAAGTATACTTCTCATATACATTTCAATTTCAATACTGAACATATTAGTAGTTGTTTTTTGTTGAATATTCAGAATGATATAATATTTATACCTTCAAATGAAAGAGAATGCAAATGCTCTACTTCAGAAGATTTCGTTTTCAAATTCCTATCCTGTGTGTACAATATAAGTAATTCAATGTTCGTCTTGGCATATTTAGCCAGGAAAGTAGTTGTTTCCGGTTGAATAAACCAAGAAAGAATCAATATTTTCATTACATTGAGAATACGAATTCTCAATGTATTTGTATTATGTATGTAACTTGTTATTTTTATCGTCCTCAATCGCAGATTCGTGATTAGGTGTTCTCAATTCAGAATTTTTTTCCACGTCCTGTACAATGAATGTCAATTTATCATTAATAAAAAAAAACATTTTTTCAGGATTTTATGTGTTTTTGCAGATTTTCCCTTCATTATTCCTCATACTATGTTTTCTTTCAGATCTTCATTCAGGAGTTATTGATAGAATGATGATAATACAGGATACTCTGAATAGGCGAGTAAAGTATTTTTTTTCTTCAAATAGAATCATCACTCGAATACCTTTCAATTCCATATTTCTTTCAAATTCTCTGGTCGATTTTTAGGTGCTAAAATTATCAACGGCTAGAAGAAAGTTGACTAACAAAGTTGTAACTCACCTCAGAAGATGTCAAATAGCATAGCCTCGAATCAGCACTTTCAATGGAAGCCTGCTGCACAATACCGTATCTGGAAGACTCCCTATCACTCATGTAATCTGATCGTAGGCTGTCTTGCCTATCGAACATGCCCCTGGAAAAAATATATTGTCAGAGAGAACGCATCGCCGGTAACCTGATCCATTTTGTACGCGGTTGTGTTACAATGTTATTATTGTCGTATATAATAAGTAGATGGATTGGATATCGATCGTCTCTTATAAAGATCTGGATCTGTACATTCGCATTTTCAGCAATTTCTATACTGGTTCTTTCTCTTACAATTGACTCGACAACTAATTCGATTGAAATCCATAGTCAATGTAGAAACTCCACAGAGGAGATTTTCTCGAAATTCTTAAGAACATGGTAGATCCTTCCTATACTTGCATATATAGTAAAATTTACCCCATTCAGCCAGAATACGGTCTGAAGGAGTACGTAAAGAACGTCTTGAAGTTGTGAATTTTAGGTCATAGACTAAAAAAAAAAAAAAATGAGACGTGAAAAAAAATTTTTTCAAACAAGGAGAAATAGTTGTATACTTATAATGAGTGAATGAAGCTAGAATATGCGATTGAAGGGATATTATGTTCTAAATTCCACCATCATTGTTTGGCGTTTAGAATTCTTGATGAAGCAAGATTTATATTAAAAAGATACACACATATTGTCAACTAAATTGAGAGTTTCGTTTACATGGATGATATGTTTTTTGGTACATGTATGTACAACTGCTAGATCTCATAACTAAGAGATCCAGAATGAACAGAGTCGCCCCAATTGTCAGCAGGAGCGAGACAGTACTGTTTCGACCCACCAGGTCTCATCAGCCACTCTCGGTTTGCTGACAACTGGGACAACACTACGCTTCGGGTATATCACCCATTTCGAAGACGCAGGGTATATCATGAAGTTATCTCTGAATCCCACCTTAGAGATTTGCCACTAGATCGCTACAACATGACTTTAACTCCATGCTATCTTCGAAATTTATGTTTATTCTGGATAGTATTAGAGAAATATTTTTTGTATCGTAACTTATCAATTCGAAAACGAATATCAATCTCTGAGTTCTAGGTGAAATTATTGTTTTGATAAATGATTATGTCTATATGTTGTTTCTGGACTTCACATCAGATTCCAGATAATTGTGAAAATATAGTTATGAAATAAAGAAGTTACTGGAATCATGTTTGTTTTTTATATTCCATGGTAGTTATCAATTCATGAGTTCATTTCAAGAAGAATACACAGTTCATTATTCACATTCCTTCTTTCCTTATTGTATTGCAGTACCAGAAACAATAAGTTTTCAACTTCATCGATTCTGTGCCATGTATTCCTTTAGAAATGATTCAAAATCAATAACCAATGACATTTTGAAATTGCCGCCACGTCTGCAATTGTGGAATTATTTCGGATCCCAAAACGTATGGCGGCACTGATGTCGTTGTTCTGGACGTCATTTTGGGAGATTGCATTTTGTGCCATAACTCAATCTGATTCTTGGCATTGTACAAGTTTTGTTGAGCATTCGAACCCATTTTCATTCCTCAATCTGATTCTTGGCATTGTACAAGTTTTGTTGAGCATTCAAACACATTTTCATTCCCATTTGTATTCCTTCTCATGAGAAGGATTGATAGTCGGAATATCAAATGGAAGTGAATTGTGATCGTTAATTTCACATAAGAAATGTCAGTTGAAAAAATGGTCTGCATTTATCGCATACCAGCTAATAATAATAAATAGATATTATAGAGAACAACAAAACGGAAAAATACTATATCAATATTGAGATTCAAAATAGGTATTCTGTACAACTCACAAAGTTTTTAACATTTCATGCCTCAGATGTCTGTTAGGATGTAGGGTTAAATTTGAACAAATCATTTTTCAGAGGAGTGTTATATGAAATTCAGGAGAGAATATCAACTAATCACCCGAATGAGTCCATAGCCACGTAATACCCCATAGATATGAAGATGGGGCTACAGAAGATGCCCCTGATCCAGATAATATTTCGAAGAGACCACGGTTGTGGGATTTGTCCACAACTCTTTCTATGTTGAATGAATCTTCAACTCACAAACAGAAATCAGCTGATCCAAAAATGGAAAATACTGCGAAATCAGAATGATAATAATGGTGTGATTGTTACATACCCAAGACAATCGTTCAATTAATCAATGTTGCCAAGGTAGCAACCGGGTGGGACCTATCCCACCCCTCTCTCACAAGACTCCCATAGGGGATGACTGCCGATCACCTTCCTTCCGACTTATACCGACAGCACCCCTGGGAGAAATGGAGGATTTGGATACGCCAAATCATCGCACTAGAGTCATATCCGTTATGTAACGGCATGTTCTCCTGCTACCATTTTATTATACCAATAGTGAGGCCGACTGATAAGACAGACTACTGGCTCTGCAGTGTCAGTGCCCGAGCAGAAACGCTGCTCACCCGCCGAGACAGGCAAGATATCCTCCCACTTGACCCATAGCCTTCCCATAGTGGGATTCTTCTTCACCTCCTCTGTCGTAGTCCAGTGGTGTTTTTTGGAAACGGCAGTCCTCTAGAGTCAAACCCAATTGGTGAGGCATCAGGCCATTATGTACGACCTGATGGGGGCTATCCTCATCACCCCAGGTACCCATGTCAACAAGATTCATCTTGTTACGTTCGATGGGTCACCGTGACAAGAGGCTTCGGCCTGATTGCTACTCATGTTGACAAGAGTCCTCTCGTCTCGGTGAATGAGTGACCGTTTGAGGACTTTCACACGTTCCTCTACCTCGTTTACAGGAGAGGACCCGGCTTTTCCCACGATGACTGGCGGTAGGATCACTTGATGCTGTCCCCTCCTTGACGAACTAAGGCACAAGGTACTCCAGAGTTCCAGTTTTCGCTGAGCAAGCCCAGCTACTCATGTCGACCAAAATCCTCCAGTCCCATTTGATGGGTGACCGTTCAAGGCTTTTCACACGTACCGCTACCATGACGAGAGTGGGGACCTCAAGCTTTTAACCAGAGGTGCCTGGAATCACCTGGGGCTACCCCCACTCGACGCCGTGAGTGCATGGTGAGCCCACGGCCAACATACCCGAGACAAATGGATTTTAATAAAATGAAATTATGGTTGTGAAATTGAAAATGTCGAACGTTTCTATACAGTTTCATATGTTTTTATTGTCTTGCGCCGATCCGTTTTCTTGGGCTCACTCATTTTATCACTTCCGGGAAGGCTTGAAATGGCACAACAAAGCTCACCCTTATAATTATGAAGGTACATGGAAGGGGAGAGATCGAACTCAGATCGCACTATGTTCTCACCTCTGTTCAAAACTGTCATTTCTGGCGCTCTTGTAACCGCTGTCATTCATGCTGCTGTCTTGCCTGAGCGAAGGCAGAGAATCCCAAGGCGATCGTTTGTGACCCTGAGGCAGTCCCTGAGCTGAGCTGAATGTTGAGCTGCCTGATCTCCAGCCGTCCGAGTGTCGGAACCATTGAGCTCTGCTGGATTCCCCTATGCATGATGCGCACTTTGAGCTAAAACTAGGAAAAAGCAATGATGTTATCAAGAATCCTCCGACTGAACCATATGGTCTTGAAGCTTGAGCGATAATCTCTTGGGAACTTTTCCGACAAGTCTACTCATTAATAGCTCTTTATACATCAAGGATGAAACGCATTTTTTTGAAGCATCATTCTTGACAGCTCTCAATCCAAATCATTATGCGTTACACAGGTATAGTATTTCAAGGACAATTGGCGACATTTGAACGAAAGTCAATTTGACACTTCTGTCATCCTAAATTAATTAATTGATATATTGTAGAGGAAAGTTTTGATCACCCCGTATATTGGTGTGATATTCGTTTGGAAAACTCTATAAGAATATGCTAACGATATATCTTTCATTTTATTTCATTGTCTCTATTATCTTAAAACCTAATACCTATTCAAAAAAGAACGATGTTTTGTCAAATGAGATTTTAGTAGAGATTGACTGGGGATAAGTTAAAATATTTTTCCATTCAAGATAATGACGAAATCAGTGTACCACCTATGAGTCATCGGAAAATCCTAGTCGTATAATATGAAGTGGATAACTGTTGAATAACTTGTGGTTCAGACCAAGAGATGGCGCAAACATCTGCGTGAGTGGAACTATCGATTTATAGATGGTATTAAAAACCTTTTCCACAAGGATCAGTTCTGGGGCCACTTCTGATCAAAAACTACTAATCCAGCAAGAATAAGTATCATCATCGTTACTGGTGATTTCATTACTAAGTACCTAACGAAGTTTTTGAATTGAAATTCGTGAAGCGACGTTAGGTAGTTCATGTACTACCAACTTATAGTCACTTTAGTTAGTTGGTGTGATCATATGGAAAAATCATTTCAATATGGATACGATGGAGTTGTAAGTTCCATATAAAAATGATCTACCTTGAGTTATGATCGCTCAGATATCCCCTATCCCTCTCCTTTTCTCGCTCTCTTTCTCTCATGAGCTCGTTTCTATCGCTATAATACCCATCTCTATCTCTATCTACTCTATCTCTGGAAGCTGAATTGAGTCGGTGTGGTAAAGTGGAGGACTTGTTCATGGAAGCACTGGATGAGGGTCCTGAAACAAAATTGAGGAAATACTATTATTTCAACTCCTCTGGCAAATATTGAAAGTTAGACATGTCATCTTGTAGCCTTCAATGTCATCGCAAATTCATATAATGACCTTGACGACCACGAATAGGACTAGAGGGCAGCTTTTCAAAAATACAGACACTAGATTTTCCAGGTAGCAATAATTTATATGCTGATTTTGCAGCTGGTTTATATAGCCCACATAATTCATATAGGTACTCACTTCTTCTAGAAGGATAGGGACTTCTCTGAGTTGAACCTGGCAAACTCTCGGCAAATTCTGAAAAAATAATGTGTTAGAACCATATGCCTGTAGTATATAATAGTTGATAGCTCACCAAGATTTTCCATGCTCTGTGTTAATAAAGCTTCGAAGGTGTGTAGGCTATAGCTTTCAGCATCCATTCCTTTTGCCAGGGTATTCCTCAGATGCATTTCGTATTCCAGAAGTAATCTACTAGTAGGTGAGCCTGGGGTAGGTGTGGTATTGGCATTCTGAAAAATACTCTCCATGAGATTACCATACACATAACAATAGTTTGAAAAAGAGCTGTTGAAATTCTGAAAATAATACAATACATTCATTTCAATGGTTACACCATTGTTATGGAAAAAATAACAAAATATGGGTGATGATAGAAGCAATGACAATTTTATACCTATAGAAGTGTAATACTCCAGTTATACTTAATTTATCAACTATTCAAGTTTCGAAACGACAGGTTTTGAATTTACTTATAGATTGCCACATAATAGGTCACAATCATTTTGGAGAACAGCATCATTCCTTTGAAGCCTCGTAATAGGGTAACCATCATTCGTTGAGAGAATCAAGTTTTGAAGCAAGTAATGAATTCACTTTGATTGCCACATGATAGTTCACAATAATTTTGAAGAAGAACATAATTTCTTCAAAGCCTCGTAATAGTGTTACCAGCGACCACAATTCGTAGAGTGAAATGTCGAAGAAAAATGAAAGACTATATTATTATTTTATCTTGTTCTGGCCGCCATATTGAATGTAATCAAACAAAGAAGTTCTGGAGAGTTATTCTCTGAATTCGCTCTATACTTTCAATATGTATTTGATAAAAAGGTGTCCGGTGTCTAAATGATGTCAAGTGAAGGTCTAACTAAATGGCAATATAGTGAACTAACTGTTTCAGGAGAGAATTGTTCACTGATCGTGGTAGTAAAACCTAAGTTTCTTGAGACAGTATTCATCACCAGTAATATGACTCCTAAAAGTTAGTTTATCATCAAAACTCATGCCATTGACTCTTCCCAAGAGAGGATTATATATTTTATAAGCGTTCTCGAAATAATTATGACCCATTGACAAACTGATTGAAAAACATTTTGAAATATTAAGCTCCAAATTATTTTACCCTTTAGGTACCATGACATTGTAGCCATTTCCAGAAGTATATATATATGGAGCCAATATCCTGCCAAGAATCGTGCTACTGATGGGATATCGAAACAAATTGCAGCAAACCAATATCCATATGATGCTGAATATTCCTTCGAATATATCGAAATCAGAGTGAACAATCTATGTGGTTACTAATATCGTTGACAAACAAATTGAAAAGAAGAGTTCCGTAATGAGAACCTTGAGGAAGTGTGGATTTATGCAGCATCAATTAATAATCAATAATGAGTTGAACTTGCTATTTAAATCACCGTGTTCATGCAGACAATTAACAATAATTATCATTTATCAAATAACAAATACAAGGTTGGTCAACTTTCAACATTTTACAATAATTGAACCATTTTTTCTCATTGTGCGCAACTAGCACGCCGATATCCTTATTGATGACCGAGGATTGGTCCATCCTATGATAGAAACTAACCTGAAAACATCTCCCGGTTTTGTGATTGTTTTTACTTTTCATTACTCTTATTCTTTTTGAGTCTGTCTAAAATATTATGAAAAAAATTCCTAGAGTTGATAACTAAATAAAACTCAGAACCAAACTAATACTAGATTCGCAATTTTTGAAGAGCAAATCACAGAATTACACTGACAGATATTTGATTACTTCACGAGAATGATGAAGATGCCTGCAACGCAGATTTCAATAAAATGTAATATCTTCCCATTATTGATTCGTTCTTTTTCCTGTTACAGAAAAAAATTGTGTATTATACACGGGGAAAAGAATTAGATTCACGGTTTCTTGTCGCATCGGGAGACAACACAACCTAGAGCTTGAATCGACTACTTCTTTCCCTTGTATAATAAATAACAATTTATGAATTGAATGCCTCTCCTGTTCTCAAATGTCTATGGCTGTCAACATTTCATCTAGAATTTTGGGGATTCATTCATAATCATTCGTGGAATATTCTCATCAAATAGCCTTCGGCGTTTCATTTACCTGGTGCATCTGCTGGTGCACGTGCCTCGCATGCCTCCCGTAGTGGTGCGCCGTCTGCTCGGGATCGGAATTGCCGTTGCTAGAGCTGGGAGTGGTGGCGTAGCACTGGTTGTCGAAGATGACGTTGTCCGAGGGTGGGGAGAAGTCCCCGCCAGCGCCCCTTTCCAGTTCGAGGTATAAGCCTCTGCCCGGGTAGCCTCTGCCGATCTCGTGAGCGGACCTGAAAGGAGGCCTGCGGGTTCCCACACAGCACATGTATGTCCAATGAACGTACAATGTACGTTCACTTCGGAACGTGAAGACGACCAACGGACGTACTCGAATAGACGTTTAACGTCCAGTGGACATCAACTGGATGTCATGAGAATACCACTTTGCACTCAAAATGAATGTCGATATCTGAGCATCCATTTGACGTACCAAAGTGGACGTTAAACGTCCAATGAACGTTCATTGGATGTCCTGAGGACATCCAATGAACGTTCATTGGATGTCCTGAGGACACCACGTTGGACGTATGGAGATCAAATAATGAAAAATCAATAGGTAGGTACTTCTACATATGGGTGTTCCTCAATGACATGTTAATATTCAAGGGAGCGTTTCTTGGTCACATTTAGAGAATATAACTTCATATGAACGTATGTCGTAAACGTCCTAACTTTTGAGATACAGGGTATCAAAATTGTGCTTATCCAGTAATTGATGACCTGGATGGAGTACACAGCTTGGCATTTACATCAAAATTTGAAGTCTTGTCTCGTTTTTCCGTTTTTTCTCTGGTAGGGAAAATGAAAATTTCTGTACATCAGAAAATGCACCTTGATGCATAGAAGACATGTACCCAATTTGGTAAAGGTGTCCACAATATTATCTCAGTTATTATTAAAAAACTGTTTTTTTTTTCAAAACTTTATCGCCCTGTATCTCAAAAGTTGAGACTTTGAAGACATACGTTCATGAGAAGTTTTTATCCTGAAATGAGTCAAAGAATCACCTCCTTGAATATAAGCATGTCTTCAAGGAACACCCTGTATATATGGAATTTTTCTCTCGGAAGTAGTACTCAATGCATTTTTGAATAATAATTCATAGATGTTATTCCGTTATCGGTAAGAAGGGAGGAACCCGATATCAGCTAGGTTGAGGTGACAAGTGAGTACACATGAGTACCACACTTGTAATGAGTACTACATAGTACATTATATTATGTAGCATCCCAAGGCACATGGAAATAGTTCTTCAGAAGTATCTATTATCATTCCATCCCTGGCAGTATCAGTCAGAAGTACCCGACAAGCCCAGTCAACCCCAAAATGTGACAACTTTCTAGCAAAAGTCGTTTGTTGATAAACGCATATCCTTGGAATTCTTTGCCTTAGGAAGTATTTTTCAATCAACTTGAAACCTCATTCACTCAACACTGCGTCACAGATGTACTGAACCTTTGGTTCCAGTTCAAATTCTCAATATACAATATACATTGACGGTGTATTCTATTCCTTCTATTTTGGTTTGGTTCTTCAAGATTATGAACTATGATTCACCAATATATCAGAGAAACATATGTTTGATTTTTGGAAAGATCATCCAATGACATTCACGAACCTTGATCCAGAAAACCTGGAATTCTGCGCCATAGCCGATCTAGGATGGGGATGCCCGGATTCCGGCTCAGAATGCCTCCCATTATTATTCGGATGCCTCTGGTGATGGTGAGAATTGTAGTAATTGTATCTCCTCCTGCCCATCTCTGGTGACGTCACCGGACTCTCCTGACTCGGCATTGGCTTGAGCATTCTTTTCAGGGTGTTGCTGTCCAAACTCAATCCTGCAACATCGAACAATCGTAAACATCCCAACTGAAACAGTCAGTTTTCTCCAGAAATTAAAGCATCTAGAAAGCCCTATGGTCACGGTAATCATCTTAAGGTGAAGGAATAAAGATGGATATGATATTAATGAATGATTCAATCACTCTTGTACCACTTTAACAAAATGATAACAATCTGTTCGCTGATCGAGAGAATCGTCAGCGATGAATATCAAAAGGGGATATCACAGACATCAATAAATTATATGAGCACTGACAGCCAGTCAGCGATAAAGGCACTGACTTCATATAGAGTGACTTCCTCCTTGGTGCCAGTGTGCATAGACAGTCCACAAAGGCTGTCGATGTATGTCTTCTGTCTCTGGGTACTCAATGTTACCTGATGGTCAAATGGCATATTGTGTGGCCAGCCAGAAAGGAGGAGAAGGGCTCACTCTGATTCTTTCGAAGCCAGTCTTGTTGATCACTCGAACCTGAAGCAACTTCAGTATGGAGAGATTTCAGGAGAACTGGAGAGAGGCTTCAGGAACGAGGCAGTCCTTATTAGAAATCCGTCATGAAGACAGACCAATTCCCCTTTTGGCTTCGAACAGGAGAAAGTTGAAACAGATATGGGCCTTCTGACAGGGTACTGCCACTAAAACAATAATCTTAACACGATCGGAATAATTGTGAGAGGTCCTCAATCCAGGTGTTGCTTACATCCTTACTGAATGCCCAGAAATAGTGGTAGCGAGTAATGATATACTACAGAATCCTGAACCCAGAGGATGTGAAAAAAATTTGGCCTAGGCAGATGATATATTTTTCTCACGGAATCACCTTCCTCCATGGCTAACTCGCGATTTGGAAAATTGTGGGTGTTCAATGGACCCGAAATTGTGGCCTAAGTGCGTCTGGTCCCAGACCATCAACACGAACACATTACATTGTATTAATCTCCAGATAGACCATCCAGACCTCGTCAGATACAGAATATAATATAATACTACCATGGGTAGGAATCCTTACTCACCATTCTCCCTATTCATATCCTCGGTACTCTTGCTCTTACTCCTCCTTCCAGACATGTTGTTATTGATGACGTTGTGGTGATGAGCTGCCCTCAATTCCGCATCTCTTACCATGTCCATCTCCGCATAGTCCATGGACTTGGTGTTGGTGAGCGTGTGGTGGAGGTTGTCTCTTAGTGGAGGTCGAGTGGAAGTGGAGGATGTCTTGGTTGAGGGTGCCAGAGTACCTCCAGCTTGGGTGCCTTCGGACTTCGAGGACTCCGAGAGCTGGGTTTGGGATTGGGATTCCGTTTGGCTTATCTGAGAGAACACCAAGAAGGTTTAGGTGAATCATAATTTCGAGAGACGGTCTACCATGAATCAGAAAGTATATTAAAGCTAGCTTTTGTTTGAAATCATTCTCGGTATAGATTTTAATTAAATATCAATTTTCTCATTGATTATTTCAGGTCAGTACATCAGGGTAAAGTAGTTGATTCAATTTTTGAAGATCATTGAGATTTTCCCATGGCTAAATGTCATCGAAGTTTCATCAGCTCATCTTAAAAATTACCAGATTGTCGCTGATTGAGGTCAAGTTAGACTATAACAATTGAAGCATCGAAGATATTTTGATTCCGTTTGACTTATGTGAAAGTACACCAAGAAGGTTTAAGTGAATCATACTATCGAGAGACGGTCTACCATGAATCAGGAGGTATATTAAAGCTAGTTTTTGTTTGAAATCATTTTCGGCATAGATTCCAATTAGGTATCTATTTTTTCATTGATTATTTCAGGTCTGTTTGTCAGGATGAAGGGGTTGATTCAACATTTGAAGATCGTTGAGTTTTAGCCGATGCTGAATTCATCGAAGTTTCATCAGCTCATCTTGTCAGTAACCAGATTGTCGCTCATTAAGGTTAAGTTAGACAATAACAATTGAAAAATCGAAGATATTTTGAAATCGTTCAACAGCTTCATAGCCATGGTTTTTGGTATCAAGACATAATAATCTTGTGAAGGGATTTTCGCAGCGTTAATGATACATTGGACACTAGGGAAATTCGGTTCATCTCTGGAGTATGAATTTTTCATTGGGTATCCTATTATAGATGAACTGGAGTTATCAATTACTCATTAGATGAAGAGCTGGCCTCAGACTATGAGATATGCTGAATAATGAGAGGCAACTTATTATTCCATCAGCTCGTGGATGATCGACTCTGATATGAATGACCTACTTCACGTGAGTGGTTTGTATTTCTTTTGAATTCAGAAGGTGATACAACAGAAATAATTTTCATAGAATGTTTTCTATAATCATTTCTACTATTACTACTAGGTTCTTATGATTCTTCCTACTCGACTGTTGAAGTGATTAATAAGGCCTACACATAACACTCCACAGATTCCAAAATAATGAGTGCTAACATTCTCAGTCTCTCCTGTTAGCGCAACTAAAACGTTAAGTCAATGTCAAAGTAAAAAACTAACGTTTTTTCAATCTCAATGTGGAACTTTACGATAAATTCTTACATTTATGAAGAAGGAGATATCGTAGAAAGAGGCCGAATGACAAAAAAGTAGAAGTATATTCATCGATTCTATCAACTCTATAACCTGGGTGTTAGCCCACATGTCTTGTTCTTCATGTTTTCAATGGCAGGCAACAAATATATTCAACTCACTTGTGATCCAACATTATTTTCGGTGCCCACTGAGGCAGTAACAGTCTTTGGTCCAGTAGCTGTGTTTGATGTAGTCATAGTACTTGTATCAGAGTGAGGTTGTACCCCTCGATCTCTCATCTGTTTCGTTTGACTTCCTTCTCTCTGCGTTCCTTTTGTACCTGAAATATTCGAAATGAGTAGGATAACTTATCAAGATTGATCAGAGAATAACGAGATCAATTCATTTCCGACTACTGTGACATAAACCGTGTTAGTAGAGATGACCCCGATTGCTCTACCCCCACTCTATCCCAAATATGGTCATGATATACCTACTTATTGTGCAATGTTGGTAAGGAGGAGGAGTGTCGGTGGACCAATGAAATGCTATTCTTGCTGATACTAGGTGTGATTCGATTCTATTCTAAATCTCATGAATGAAATGATGATTGATTACCTTCTGTATATTCACCTTGTGTGGTTCCTGTCTGTGTAGCACCGACGTTATCGTAAAGGCTAGTGGAAGAAGTTGCGGCTGTGACTTTTTCTGTTCTACCTTCTGTATCGGTTGTTCTCGTTGTAGCTCTAGGAAGTGTCGATGACCCTGAAAATATGATGAGTCCTAGTTAGAAATGGGAATATGAAAATGAGCATACCCTGTCAATTTTCATCTCAGAAGAAAACTCTTTCAGATTATACTTCATTATAGACATAGTCTTCTCAGAGGTGGGCCGATTATATCGGTGAGTTTTCAGACTTCGTTATTTTGCTACTACCAGAAGAGAGACTTAGGGATTTTTGAAGCCTTCGAGAGGGAACTCATTTTCCAATTGCTAGATGATTAGTATCCATCTTACGCAGCAAAAGCTCAAAAAGTGGTTCCAATGACTTAAGAAGCGGTTTCAATCACTCAGAAAACGGTTTCAATTACTCAGAAAGCAATTCCAATGACTTAGGAAACGGTTATGGAAGCTGAAAGAGTGGATCCAACAGTTGAAAATTCGAATAGCAGTAACAATGACTCAGGAACGTCCCCAATAGATCAAAATGCGGTTCCAATAGTTCAAAAAGCGGTTCCAATAGCTCAGAAAGTTGTTTCAATAGCTTTAAAAGCAGGTCTAATGGTTCCGAAGGCGGTTCAATATCGATTGTAGAGTATAATCAATAAACTGAGGAGCAAGTTGTTACGTACTGGTTCTGAATTATATTCTGTTGATCAAGAATTGTAGATGGCAGGACGAATAATAGGGGTGTGGGTTCCAAGTGGTAAAATCAACCAATGATGAATGTTATTTTGAAAACATTTATAATCAAAAGAACACAGTCTATTTAGCATCTATAGATAACTAAAGTACCCCAAAGTCCCAAACTACCGTCTATTGAATAGTGGGTTAGCACCACTTCAATACGAAGTATAACAACTGATATGGTATGATAGTATACTTGTGTAAGACTCTAACATCTCTTAGTGGTAAGTAGGTATAATCGCCACATCAAACAGCAATACTCTGTTCACTTGCAGAATGCTATACTCAGGAACATTCAAATACTGAATACTATCGAAATTGGCCAAACGTACCCAATTTGGTGATATAATAATTAATGTTTTCCGCATGACAACCTCTTTCGTCATCTCTAGAGATCACTCTGACAGCCCTTTCTTTGTCACCTTCCGCTAGTCCGAGTCCAAATCAACCAAAAACACTGTATACACGGTCCGCTCACTACAAAGTACCCTCTCAGAGGTTGCAGAAAAGCGAAGTTCCAAATTCAAATTCGTTTATTTGTACTTGCAACAGCAGCCATTTGATGTGAGATGGATATACACGTCATGTTTAGCATTTACATTCAGTATGCATACATATAGACAATACACTCGCTCAAAAGTAGGTTGTCAATTGAATATAACAAAAATAAAAGATACATATATATACAAATATAAAATAATGGAGAATGAAAATTCTCGTTATGACTAATTCACTCCAACAAGTCAACGAAGGATTCTCTAATTGAATAATATGCTCTCTCCAGCAATATTTTCTTAGTTATTCGTTTGTATTTTCTGAGACTCATGCTCTGTATGGTGCTCGGTAGTTTGTGAAAAACTTTGCTCCGACATACCCCGGACTTTTCTCAAATTTTGCCAATTTATGTTAAGTTACACTCAATGCATTTGCCATTCTTGTTGGATAACTCTGAAAGGATGAGTTTCTCTTGAATGTTTGTATGTTTTCTTTTACATAACTTAATGTTTCATATATATATATATGGAAAAGTCAATGAGTTGTTTATAAATATAGCCTAGCAGCTATTTTCGTATTTCATATTGAACATAAGTCTCAGGACGCGTTTTTGGCAGACTAAAATCCTTTCAGAGTTAGTGACAGTATACTAGTGGATAACATGTCCATCAGTACGTTTTTGGCCAATGTTTTCTTCTAGTTTTAGTATAGCAAAAATCCAGAATTGATTTTTTTAATGTGTTCAAGTTTATACTGATCCAAGTGAAGTCCTAAGAATTTGGTTGATTTCGAGTTCTGAATTTCCGTTAGAGAAGAACTAGTACTGTTTCTTCGGCACTTGAATTGAATATAATACAGTTTTTCTAATGATTAGTATTAAATTACTTTCCGACCCCATTCGCAGAATTTTCCAATTCCTTCAGGGTCCGTGCAGAGACCACCACATAAGAATCGTCTGCGAACATTGTGACTTGTCCATTTGTGACATGGTCGGGAATATCATTGACGAATATTTGAACTACTCTATAGCGTATAGAAACATAAATAGTTTAGTTTCAGCTTAGTTTATTCAACAACGTTATGTACAAAAAAATACATTTGTTGCAGGTCACAAACATTTCATCTAGTGGGTAATATAGGGTAGTGAGCACAATTGCTTATGAATAGGTAATGAATCGATATAGCATACACAAAAACAAGAAAGTTTTGTCAAACAAAAACAACAAAAAAGTTAACAGAATAGTTATTATTGTATCATGAGCAGAAATATTAACACATCAGCATGTAAATACGGTCAACGTCAGATTCAATTCCCTTTCAGGTTCAGAAGGGCGTTCGTAAGAATTCCTTAGTTGAATAAAAGCAGTGCTTCACAATAAATTTCCTCAGGAGATTTTCAAAGTGAGGGTAGTCAGTATTGGTCAATTCAGTTGGAAGTACATAGAGCTTCAAATTCATGGATTTTTTTTGTAATTTTGCAAGTCGGTATCTTGGAATGTGCAGTTGATTAGCAGACCTAGTGTTGTATTCATGATGATCACTCCGAACCTGAAATTCACTTTTGTCTTTATGGATTTCCAGTATCGAATAATAGATATATAGCGCTGACGGGTGCTTGCACCAGCAATGACTCGTATTGCCCAATATGGTTTGATTGAGCAAAATTTCTGACCAGAACGACCCCGAACATCCTCATTACCCCCACTCACCCCTGTATCTGGGATCCTGAGCCTTCAGCCTGGCGTACTGCTCTGACGTCATGCAGGTGCATTGCGGCTCGCCGCGCGCCGCCCTGCTCGGCGACGCGGGCGTGCTGACGGGCTTCCGCCTGCCCTGCGGCCTGCCCTTCTGCTTGCCGGGCGGCTCCAGCTTCAGCGAGTAGGAGGAGGAGGCCTTGCGCGAGAACTTGAACGACGGCGACTGCAACAGGTCACACTGCGTTCAATAAGCATTTTTAGGACGGTCACGTCACGCTAATATACAGGGTGTGTCAGACTCAAATTCACATACGATACTGGCAGATAAAGGACACTTTGACGGTTTCAAATAACCCCCATTGATGTGTTTACCGTCTCTTATAACTGAGATACAGGACGTTATCTTGATCTGTGGTCATAATTTCTGAACCAATTCGCTTGTCAAACGAAGTGTCACTTTTGATCCTAATAACACAATCTACTATTTTCAGTTCAATATTCATCAGGCCACTATAATTAATTTATTATCTACTTCTTTTTAGTTTCGCTATCATTTAAAGCGTGTTTCTTTAGTTTTTCAAACTACCATTTATTTCAAGTTCACTTGAATTTACCTATTTTGACGAAAGAATCATGATATCCGACTCAGAAATCATCTTGAATTCCCTAATTCTGACGAAGGAATCATAATTTTTGATCCCGAAAACTCCCACTTACAAATTTTGAATAGAATTGGTTTATAATCAAAAAACTCGTCCGGTATATTGGTTCTACCGTCTTGAATTTCCAAATCCCGCTTTTTCCAAATTTTGACAAAAGATTCATAATCTACGACACCGAAAACATCCAGATAACAATTTTGATGAGAGTCGGGTCATAATTACAATACTATCGTCCGTCATATTGGGTCCGCCATCTTGAATTTCCTAATTTTGACGAAAGGATCATAATTTCCGATTCCGAGAACTACCAGATAGCAACTTCTTGAATTTCTAATCATCTTGAAAAAGGAATCATAATCCCCGATTACGAAAACTCTGAGATACCATTTTTTTATAGAATTGGACCATGATCACAAAACTAGTCCAATATATTAGATCCGCTATTGAGTTTTCTAAGCTAACTCCCCACCAATTTTCAGCCAAATCGATCCAGTAGTTTCGGAGTCTATTCAATACATACAAACAAATAAACAAACAAACAAATCTTTCCTGTTTATAATATTAGTATAGATGAATGGTGTTCAGGATTATTGGCGTAGACGTTTCAATAATTCCTGAATGAATCGCGGTGTTTATCTATCGTTATTTAGTCTAAGATATACATGCTCATGACGAATAATGATAAATGAAGCGAAAGAATGAAAAGTTCGGTTAATGTGTTTGATATCCCTGAATAATTCCTGAAATTTGGATAAAATAATCAATAACCACATTTTGGCATTTATCTGGTACTAAGACATGAACAAGTCATTGAACATTTGGAGGACCTATCAAGTAGTTATTCCTTGATAATGAGTTGTAACTCAGATCGATTTCCATAACTGAACATATGTTGTACCCAATTTCGAACAGTTGCAAAGATGAATTGGTTCATGATGAATTTTCGATGTTGAATTCAAAATTAAATAATAAACAAAATTATAATTCTTTACGAGACTGATTATATCTGTCCTAATTCGCCATCACGCATGATTTCCCAAGCGCTTTAATTGCTGTTCATCATCAGATTCCCCTTATGTCTTCCATATTCGAGAAAATTTAAACACTGAAGATTATTTATATTTTCTTGATCTTTCAACGCTTCCAAATTCTGTGAAATCCAGACCTGTTGGGATGTAGAACATTCTCCTACAGAGAGAAGCTTGTTTTATGGAATGTTCCCCATTGAATATTCTTCAAAGAAATACAAATTAGTGAATTGAAAAAAGAAAAATGTGTTATTCCATACCGAAACATAGATGTGTTCTCGTAGAGTTAGTAGATCGATATAGATAGAACATGGTATTCACTACTGAAAACTGAACATGAAAATGGTAGATTCAGATCAATTAATGAAAACATCCTGTAACTCATTTGTAGACTAGAATCACTCATTCATATGCCAACATCAGTATGACACTGAAAAGTGTCAAACTATAAGCAGCACAACTTTCAAAGAAACATAATTTGCATTTACATAACGGGAGCAGAATCGGTCCCGAAACGTCCAAAGATAAGTAAAAATTCGATATTTTTTCAATATATCTATATTTCTTTTCTTCAAACATTTTTTCAAACAAATTGTCACCGACAATCTACTGGATTTTTCTCTTAGACTCCCTGATAGAAAAATTCTTTAAACGCAGTGACATTTTGGGGCAAATCATCTGATTTGTCCCTCTACAAATATATTGAAATAATAGGAATACTTTTATTTTATAGAAACGAGGAGAGAAAATCAAGTAAAATGAATAGTAGATTGATACTTACACAGCATTCCCTGAACTGTTTGGCATCTATGGGAGAGGTGAAATTGAGACCCCAAGTATCATTCGTCATGGGGTCTTTCCAATACACGAAACAATCCGAGGCTTGTCCTATTCTGGTACCTAAAAAAATATAATCATCAATATTTGAACAAAAGTGGAAATTAGCATGACTATGACATGATTCGAATACTGAGTTGTCATATGTTCGAGAGACTGGTTAAAATGCAGTTGAAGGTATTCCTCAATTTCTTAGATGGGTATCGAAATATTGTTTTTTTCGGTCGTGGGTTCGAATAAAATGTCATTCGAAAACTCCATTCACAATTGAAATATCAATCGAGTAGGTACTGACTGACTGAGCAATTATGTTATCATATTTTCCAAAGTTTTGGTATAGGGATTCAATTATGCTTGGAGGGGCCTCTCGCTCTTATAAAAAAAACTTTATGATTATTTCAGTATCAATACTTATTCCAACGAAATGAAAGAGCTAGATTTAGATCGCAAGTCTCGATCATGAAAAAAACTGTTTTCTACACTTCTACTTTTCAATCAATTCAGATTTCCCAACATCCACTTAGTGAAGCAAACTATCAGAAAAGGGATATCCAGTCAATTGTTGATGACTCGACTGTAGAGAATGAGTTGACAAACCACCATTAAGAATCAGTATGAATGGTTGAAAAACAGGGCCACAGTCTTATACTGGTTCAAGTGTTCGTGTCTGATTCAGTTTCTTACCAGGTTGTACCAGCCGAACGTCCAAAATTTTGTCGACCTGAGAGTTGTAGGCCGTTATGTGGAAAACACATTCTGGAGAGTCTTGGATGCAAGTGATGTTGACAGGTACCAAATCCTCGCTCACCTGTTGCCATTTCACCGTACCAGCTCCACTGGCTGACACGTGAAAAACCTCTGCCCATAACCTGTAACAAAAACACGGGTCAATTCCACTATACTATATTTCTCAACTGATATCATGCTTCGTATCATTACTGTCAAAGTGAGAAACAATCAAGAAATTTTATTCCTGGAGGGTATTCGAAGAAATGTCATAAAAACATTCTTCAAATCATCTCCTTTCTCAATTGGAAAGAAACAAAATGAAACACATCAAAGATAACCATCCATAACAGCAAATATAATAGATATAGTTTATGCAAAGTCAGTTGGAAAAACATATCACCGCAAGTCGTCGGTCCCTTTGAAAGTTCAAAGAGTGCGGCAGCGCAGCCCGACATTCGTTTGATGATCTGTTCAACTGACTTTGCATAAACTATACCATACATTCCCGGATTATCTCAGGAAATATAAAAAACTGTGTTCAAGACTGTACGCAAAGAGATCAATGCTTATCAAATTGAACAAAAAAATGGGCAATAATAATCAACAAAACAAGAGACCTCTCACAGTATTCAAGGAAGAACATGAAAACTGTATAGTGATTGGGCTTTAGACTGTAAACAGGATTTTAGAGCGCAAGCCCAAATGGTATATGTTACTAGTTGAGGTCGTCAGTCAGTATTGGATCTTGAAGTGTGAATGTGCGTCCTACATCAGTTGAATAAATGTTAGGCAGTGTTAATGAACGAACTACATCAAGACGCTTTCGCGCTTCTAGAAGATTTGTGTTTACCTACTCCGATAGAACAGTGTGCTTACTATGATTTGATGAGGAAACTGATAGAATACTATTCTCCTATACGGGCAGTGTTTGCGAAAAGATACAATTTTTATATGACCAGTAAAATGTCATCAGAAACACTGCAGGAGTATGCCGCTCGTTTACGGATATTGAGCAACCTATTGCCAGTTCGGTAATAATCTGGATAGTGCCGTTCGTGACAAGTTCATAGTATGCTCGAATTGCATCCTCAGAAGCTTCAAACTCCTACGCGTCCCATGAGGCTGAGGAAACTGGAATTTTTATTTTTTTTTATTTTGGAGGTTATGTGGGGAGGAGATGTAGTGATTGGGCTTCAGACTGTAAACGGGACTTTCAGAGCGCAAGCCCAAATGGTATATTTTACTTGAAGTGTGAATGTACGTCCTACATCAGTTGAATAAATGTTAGTGTGTGTTGGGAATTGCGATTAGCATTTCTAACCCTGAACCCCGAATATTACAAGAACAATATAAGATGAAAGACATCGACGATCATATCCTTACTGAAAATGGACAAAATATGACGGAGTGAAATTAAATTCAAATTATTTGAAATAAATTAAACGTAATAAATTTCAATCTGAGGATTATGCGGGTGTTTATATTTTTTTCAATTTCCAACCACCCAAGAAGAATATAAAACGGCAGATAGTTTCAACGTTTCCGTATTACCTTCGCCATATAACAGCCAAGTCATTAGGACGAGTCGATAACATTGAGTTGTTGGTAGTTATAGAGCGATAAAAGTAATTTTATGACTCATTCAAGAGTCCATTAAAATAAGAGCAAAGAAGATTTACAGTTGGGAATTCGATTCAATCATTATTACTGTTGATCTTTGGATTACATAATGTTCAGTAGGTAGATACTAGCAAATACAGTTTCTGTAGAACGCCATAAAAATAATCCTTCGAATATTTTTCATGGAACATTTCAGGTAGGTACCTATACAAAAACCTCCTTTTCCACCTTATCACGCAATCATCGAAGATCAAATCGTTTTAGGCCACCTATCATGAATTGCAGAAGTATCAAGTTCCATACATTGATACTTTTACATAGTACAACCACACCTCCAGTGGCTCATGAAAATATACGTATATAGATGTTTCTATATCATAATCGTTGGTATAAAGGAAATAATGGGGTGAGACAAAATCAATTATTGCCAATTATGTTTGATATCCAATATAAGAAAACCAAGAAACACATAGGTATACAATAGTATACATGTAGGAGTAGGAGAGTACTGTCTTTCACAAAGGTTCGGATAGGGCATCAAGTACTTACTCCATACAGATTATTGATAAGGAGTAGGAACACTGTGTCAAAAGTGATCTTTGTGGTTCACCAGAATTGATGGCACCACCATATGGAACGATCTGTCTGAGAGAAAACTCGATAGAAAAAGACATAGCTTGAGAGTTCCTTGGTCGAATGCTTTCAATATATTCAATGACAACAAGAATTACAACGATCTATGCTCATCATATAAATATGTTCCGTGTGTGTTTGATTATAATTCTTTAGACATGTTTATGAGTTCCGATCAATACATTTCCTAGTTAACTTTGTCTAATTTATTTCAAAGAACGGTTTCCTCCTTCGTCAATCCCAATCCGATATGACGTTCTCACGAACTTTTTCGGCTTATATCTCAGGAACAAGGCAGACAAAACTTTTTGAACTCACATATTTTTCTAATGACCCATCGCACAACAACATAGTGAAATGTCAGCCAATTCGACCTATAGCCAATTTCCAATGTTTTCGTGTGGGGTCCTTTTCCTCGTCTTCTGCTGCTAGGGAGGTTATAAGTGAATATTTACCTGGTGGCGATTTGCCCACTCTCGAATCTCCATCAGCCTGACCCAGATTATGAAGATATCGGGGAGTTTGCAATAACGCTCAAACCACCCTTGCATCACACCAACACCCCCAAATCGAAGGCATCGACAAACAATGACGCCAATCGATTACGATCACCAACCGCGAATTCATGTTTCCTGTTTGGGGAAAGCCTTAAGTCACCATTCAAATTCATATTCCTGCCCGCTTCATCATCCGGAGAATTTAATATCGAAGGAGCTCGGTCGTGGATTTTACTCATCTTGGATAAATTGAGGTGAGAATTTGCACAGCCGGAGATGCACTGGATGGCGATAGGTGTTGGTTGCAATAGGTATACAAAGATGTGTCCTCTGTCCATGTCAGATGATAAAAAGCAGAGGGGTACAGTGTGTTTACAGAGGAAGTATCTTCTTCTCTCCTCTTCTCTTTGCCTGTTGTATGCGAATACCCGCTTCAATGTCGTCTTATATGGTCACTACGAATGTCTGCTTCATACGAAGGCGCTGAGCTGATATAGTCAGAAAAAAAATGCGTCCTTTGAATACAATTGCAAGATTCTTCTGGCATTCAACCTAATTGCAAGATTTAACTGGCATACGAGCTAATTGCAAGATGACTCTCGCAGTTACGGCTTGATTCACAGATTTATCTTGCATTCAAGCTTATTACAAGTTTTCTTTTCCATTTTCATCTAGCATTGAGTTCATAGACAGATTTATCTAGCAATTAAGCTAATTGTAAGATTTATTTTGCAATCAGGGTTTGATTGTCAGATTTAAATTGCATTTAAGCTAGTGGTGCCCGCGAGAGTCTCGTTTTTGAAAGTCTCGCATGGTCTCGTCTCGTTTTCGAGACAAGATTCGAGACGAGACTCGGACAAGATGATATGAGACTTTTATCAGTCTCGTCTCGAGTCTCGTGTGAGACTTCTGGTGTCTCGTACAAGAGTCTCGCAGGTAAATATTCCTGCGTGCCGACTGCAGCCTTGAGAATTTTATTCATAATACAACATAGGTATTTTGAAAAAATTCATACTATTCAGCATAGACATAATGAACATTTCATTGATCAATTCTTTGAAAACACAATGCATGATTGTGGTCAAACGACGTAATGCGTGAAACGAAAACGGGACTATTCTCTCTCTAACGGCGGAATAATGTTGGATTGAAGTTTTTGATTTGTTGATTTGTTTAGAATATACGTGCTACTTTTTATTTTATTTTCATAACTTTCGATAATATAATGCTATGGTTTTTTTTCCTTGTTTAGATGTATGATGTAAGTATGTACCTATTAGGTACTTTCTTTTCAATAAATAATGTTATTTTTGTTGTGATTTTCTCTTCCTACTTCTACATTATACCTAAAAAGTAGGTAAAGACTGTGAATACTCAAAGGTAAAGGTAGAAGTAATCCCGTACTGGACTGGAACAAGATTATGCATGACGAAATTGCGATATATTAGCGAGACGCGAGACAAGACGCGAGACAAGACGCGACTTGAGGCTGCGAGACGAGACTCGAGACAAGACTTCATATTTCATCGTCGAGACGAGACGAGACTTTATGAAAGTCTCGTCTCATTAGTCTCGTGTAAATAACTAATTAAACACACAGATTCATCTGGCATTTAGCTTAATGCAAAATTCATCTTGCAAATATAACCTAAAAATCGTTAATGTGTGTATGTGGGGTAATATTATGGCATATACAGAGTGATTCATTGGAAAATGCACATGTTGTGAGGGTAGATAGAGGACACGAACGTGCTTCTGAATAATCTATATTTCATTTTTCATAACGAAGATACAGGGTGATTTATTAATTCCAACGGTCCTACGCAGTAGCTGCAGAAGATAATATCCGACATCACGACATCTTGGTTGGATGCATTTTGCAATTAGCTTAAATGCCATATAAATCTGTTGATTATCCCAAATCCAAGATAAATCGGTCAGTTTAAATTAATTTGCAAGATGAATCTTCACTAGAATTAGCAATTAGCTTAACTTTTAGATGAATCTGTCCCTAATTGTAAGATAGAACTTGCAATTAGCTTAAATCCAATATGGAGCTGTTGATTAACGCTTAATTGCAAGATAAATATTGCATTTACCTTGAATGCCAGATGAATCTATCAATCAAGTCCTAATTGGAAGATGAATCTTGCAATCAGCTAAAACGCCAGAAAAAAATTTATTATATTCGAACGACGAAACAAAATTGTTGTTGCTATGTCCGTTCAGCGCGTTCGATCGTAGCTTTAACTGTATCGATGGCAGATGTTAAAATGCTGAGTTAGAGTCTGATGCACATAGTCGAAGTGGAAGTTTCCTATGCCTGTTTTATGCATTATATACTCACTTCAAAGTCGTCAAAGTCATCTTAAGTAAGTATTAAGAGGAAGAAAGATCAGAATTCAAGTGATTCCTCAATCATTGCTAACACTTAAACTGCCATGTATATCTCTGAGTATACTCAGTGGCTTGACCCAGGTCGCCTCGTGTATACCATAGATCTTAATTGTGTATTGACTAACCACCCATGAGAAAAAAACGCTGCTCACCTCAGCAAGTGCCCGTCCCTTCTTCTCGACGTTTGCCACGGCGAGTCCTCGTACCGGTACGCCTTGCGCAGGATGGGCGCGCACGAGCAGCTCAGCTTGTTGCCCATGGTCGCGCCCTGGGCGGGGCACTGGCACTGCGGCGGTGGCTGCACCGCCCGCTGTCACCACATGTCGCCGCTGGAGTCCTGACCGCCGGCGGTCGCGCCGCGCGTCGAGCCCCAGGGGCGCGCGTTGCGGTTCAGGGACTGCGAGCGCTGGTGGCGGTGGGGGAGCTTGCCGTGCTTGGGCTGGAAAGAACGGAGGTTCAAATCAAATCAAAATTTTGCTTTATTGTCGAAAGGAAGGTGATTCTCAAAGACAAAGCATATAGGTTAATTAAACATGATCAAAGAGTTACGGTAACAAATACATAAACATTAGAAAATAAGTCAAGAAAAATATTCGGAGCAGTGAGTTCTATCACAATATAGTTGAAAAACAAAAATAAATAACATATACTTAACAAAATAGTGCGTCAATTACTAACTAACAAAGTAAAGCACAACAGATATTTGGAAATGAAATGAAATGAAATGAAATGAAATGAAATGAAATGAAATGAAATGAAATGAAATGAAATGAAATGAAATGAAATGAAATGAAATGAAATGAAATGAAATGAAATGAAATGAAATGAAATGAAATGAAATGAAATGAAATGAAATGAAATGAAATGAAATGAAATGAAATGAAATGAAATGAAATGAAATGAAATGAAATGAAATGAAATGAAATGAAATGAAATGAAATGAAATGAAATGAAATGAAATGAAATGAAATGAAATGAAATGAAATGAAATGAAATGAAATGAAATAAATTGAAATAAATGAGGATATATGATAATATATATCTAAATATGAAATTGAAGGAATCTAGACTCGAATCTAGATATAAAATAATAAAATTCGGTGAAACTATAATAACCTTCAGATTTATAGAAACTTTCTAACTTGTTTTCTGAACTTGAGTTCAATGTCAATTTCCCGTAGATACCTATATAGGCAGATAATTAAACATTTTCTTGCTCTCATAAATAAAAGAGTTCTTATTCAGAGCCAATGTGGGAATGGGAAGTTTGATATAATTCGAATAGCTGCGTTTTATGTGTAAGTGCATGCATCCCTCACGCCAGCTTTACACATATATCTCAAAGAAAATAGATTTGTATAAATGGTCAGTACATGTCCCCCAGAAACAAATGCCGTTACGCAAATGTGATTCGATAAGTGAATTTTTGGCGGCCGCAAATAATCCCAGTTCATTTGAAATGACCCTCACAGCATAGCAGCCAGATGCTAGCTTTTTGCTCAGAAGTAGTATGTGCCTTTCAATTTTAATCCGGCGTTAATTTTCATCCCTTAAAACTTGTTAGTATATCTTTACTGAGACATTCATTTCCGAGGAAGACATTATCAATATCACACCTGAAATTAATTATTCCGGTCTTGTCAATATTGAAACATAATAAATTGGTGTCACACCATAATTTAACTTTCTTCAAGTCCTCGTTGATGTTATTTCCCAATACTGAGGAATTCTTCGTATGCCAAAGGATAGTCATATCGTCAGCAAATACGGTGAATTGTCCTTGAATATCGATTTACATCAAGTCATTCACATATAATAAAAAATATCAAGGGACCAAGTACAGAACTTTGCGGAACTCCATATGTTTCACAGCTAATTGCTTTGACGCTTCGTTATGAAGGATGACACTTTGAGATCGGTCAGTTAAGTACACAGTGTGTTTAAGAATTTTGTGGAAATCTTATCGTTTTTACATTTGCCATGGATTCCTATCAAGTAACAGCCGAGTCAATTCAAAATATTGTATAACTGATGCCAAAATTCCAATTTCTTCATCCTGAGTAATTTGTGCAGTTGTTCTATATACAAATGATCTTTTCACTTGTCACAATGGAAATTTCATTGATCATGAGTGAACTTTTTGTTCGGTGAAGACGTAGTTTCTGTTCACATAGGCCGATAACTGACTATAGGGAAACAAGTGAGGTACGTAGTTTTCGAAAGGTATCAAATTAGTATAGATGTAGTTTTCATTAGGTATTAGATTAGTATAATAGGGGTCAGATGATTTATACGACGCTATAAAAGCAGATGATATTTTATCATTGCTCATGCAAGATGGAAGTAGAGGCCATGGCACCATATTATGAGCATATTTTTATATTGAAACTATCATTGGGCACCAAAGATGTGTATACGACGCTATGAAAGTTCAGAGAACTGGAGATTTTTCCCACAAACTACGTACTTAGCCCACTCGACTGTCTTGGTTTTTCCACACAAACTACGTACCTAGCCCACTTGACTGGCAATAGGGACTAAAAAAACAGAAACATAAGAAAGTTAAAACAATGCCAACATATTTCTTCTTTGTGGGAAATCAAGACAGTCGAGTGAGCTAGGTACGTAGTTTATGGGCAAAAAATTGAGACAGTCGAGTGAGCTAGGTACCTAGTTTATTGGCGAAAAATAAAGACAGTCGAGTGAGCTAGGTACGTAGTTTCTGAGAAAAAATCAAGACAGTCGAGTGTGGTTTTTTTTACTTTCTTTCGTTTTTTTTTTTGTTTTCTATTGGCAAGTGATTATCTAGGAACTTGTAAATTTTTTAGTTTTTTCATCGTACCTCCCGAACTATTGAATTCAAAGAAAAATGATATGCGGATTTTTTGTAGATTTTTTCAAAAGGAATAATTTTGGTTCCATAACATTTTCAGATATTTTCAGTTGTTTTCGAGATATTTGGAATTATCTGAGAATAAAATTCTCTACACTTTTGTTCCATCTTCCAATCAACAAAAGGAAAAAATATTCCATGGTTCAGTGGAAGTCGATGAGCTACATCTATCGATATTCTTCGTTTTTCAATATATCTTCATGGTACCCTATGGGTCGTTAAAATTATTTTGTCATATTTTTTACTTTATTTCCTGTACTATTGGGTTTACAGAAAAAATTGTAGTTAATAATTTGTAGGAAATGTTCCAGTGGATAACTTTGCACTCCTGATAATTTTCGATTATTCAATTTGTTTTCGATATATATTGAATTGAAAGGATTTCAAATTTTGATGTTTTGATTTTCATTTGTTTTTCCATTTTCCGATGGATGCACAAAAAAATGGTGGAATAATAATTTGTTGCGTCATCAAAGAGGCATACGGTGCATTTTTCAAATTTGGATTTAGTCTATTGGTACAGGAGATATGTCGTTTTAAAGCAAACCGTGTGTTTCGGAAAATCTCCTTGAAAAACCCACTTGGAATTTCCCGACCCTGCTCAATTTCGATAGGCTCCGTCTCTCCCTGATAGAGTTTTTCTTCACAAAAAATTGAATCGATCGGACCACTTTTGCGATTTGTAGAGTGGTCACAAGAAACTTCCGGTGAAAAATCGAAAAAACCCGGAAAAACCACCTTAGAGATTTCCGATTTCCTTCATATTTCAATGACATAATATTGTTTTGAGTACAATAAGATGGCAAAATTTCAAGTCGATATGTCGAAGGGTTCCGGAGATATATCGATTTATGATTACCACAGAGTACATACAGACAGACAGACAGACCACACACAAAAACCAAAGTTGCTCAAAATTCGATGGGGATCATTCTCTCCAAAGTAACTATACCTCGCTTAGTTTCCGAGGTAGCATTTTTGGCTATGTATAGCGTCGTATAACAATGAGCCCCAGTGTTTCAGCACGCCAATCAATGTTAGGAGATAGAAAATGAAGGATAGTTTATAGGTCCCTGTGGTGAATTGATACAAAGTAACTAACTTCTGTCATCTGTCGACACCACTAACACCTAAAAAGATCCATTTCACAGCCATCCTCAAATTGAATCATTCGTCTCTCTCACACCCGCAAGCTTTCACATTTCTCTCTATCCAATTACCTCAATCGAATCGATGCCATTCTACCGTCTAGCATTGATAAACACCTAATTTCGTCAATTTATAATGGTAATTGGCCACATTATAAATAGATACTCGCTTACGCTTCCAGTATCGTATTTATGGAACGAAATAGTGTCACAAGCTTTTAGTTCGTTGCACTATCCTATTTTTGCATTTCGTCAAAACGTTTCCGTGTTTTCAAGTTTGTTGACTGTACAAGACATGTTTACATCGTGATTATTTCTGTTCAACGGCCGATAGAATATTCTCGCGGGGAAAAATTGTTGTGGGATGATGTGATATAATGTCCTTCCATTCCTGATCATCTTCTTAAGAATTGTGTATACTCATTATCATATCTAATGTTTCTTCTTTTTATATGCTCCTAATATACTGGCATTGTTCCCGACCAATGGAAACATACTTATATTCTTCCAATCTTCAAATCAGGGAATAAACAACGTAAAATAGAAAATTAACGGGGTGTATGAAATCAGGCTTCTCTACCAGAACTATTGGATAATTTAATAAGTGATCAACTGAAATTCCATTGTGAAGAGAGTTTGATAAATAATCAACATGGATTTTTTCAGAAGAAATCTACAACTACAAATCTGTTGGTTTCTCATCAGAGAATATTGAATGCCTTGGAGAACAAGGGTCAGGAGGATGCAATCTATACTGATTTCTCCAAGGCATTTGATCGTGTAGACCACAGAATTTAGCTAAGTAAAATGGGTTCATGTGGTTTCTCTGATCAATCTCTATCCTGGTTTGACAGTTCAACTGGTCGTACTCAGCTAGTTAGGGTATGGAATGCGGAATCAAATATTATTTATGTTCCTTCAGATGTACCTCAAGGGTTCCATATTGTGCTCCTCTTCTATTCAACATTTTCGTCAATTCATTGTACATTGTTTTGAAAATAATATTTCCTATTGTTCTCAGATGATTTGGAGCTTTTCAGACGAATAAAGTCATCAGATGATGTTAATTAGATGATTTGGACAACTTGACTTTGTGGTGCAATGAAAATAACTTGCATATGAATATCAATAAATGTTGCTCAATAAGCTTCTCCAAATTGATTTATTTTCATGTTCTGGTTCCCACGAAGAGGGATATCCTGTAACGTTCAGAAAACA